TATATTGTATATGTGTGTGTATGTGTGTGTGTATGTATGTATGTATGTATGTATGTATGTATGTATGTATGTATGTATGTATGTATGTATGTATGTGTATGTAGATGTATCTCAATTTATTAACGATAATTTAGTATGTATTATAGTATGTTCGTTACTCTTTTATATTTCAGTATATGTAGATATTTGTGAGTTTTTATTTCCATCTTCGATTCATTGGTATTAAACTCGGTGCAGTACACCGCTAGAGCAGTGCAATCCAATCCGTTTTATATCGCACCAGTGCAAATAAACCACTACGATTGGTATATTTAAATACAAACCAATCATGTTTAACTTATGAACATCCAATCAACTAAACTCGATTCAATGCCTTTCGGTATAGTCCAGATCAGATCGAACGTTTAAAGACCACACAGTCGAACCTGACGAACAACCGAACTCATTTCAATGCACACTCTACAGATCAAACGGTATCGGCTCTTGGCTACACTTTACATTCAGCTCTTACCACTTTCGTTCAATTAAGATCAAAAGCTATCTTACGTCACTTTAACGCGTGCACACGTCTCACACAAATATGTCTTGAAGACTTTAGCTTGCAGCACATCTTTCACGCTTTAACTGATTTGTGCATCACACCCTAAGCACTCTCCCTCTCCTTTCCCTCCAACCTTTTCAATGTCTACCGGCATAGTTTTCTCAATCCTCGAAACATAACAATATCCACATAATTATGTGCCACATATTAGTCACATAATTATGTGTCATATATTAGTCACATAATAATAATAATAATAATAATAATAATAAATTAATGATCATATGCGTATGAACATGAAAATGAACCAATCCTTTCTATGTGGTCCTAAACCTTTTCCTCGTAATTTGTTACTCAATTTTTTATCTTTTTTTTTTGTCGCATATGCAGTCGACGAACGTCACAGAGATCTGCGAGCCAACCTTCGAAGTGGAGAACTATGCTGCGGTGTTTTGTCCAACCTTTGGTAGGTAAAATTCTTTCGTAATTCGTATATATACTGATTTATATAATGGGATATTGCTCAAATGAAATCGTTAGTAGGTAGTATTCTCATGAGAGGCTATAAACACATGATATCTTGATTCATATATCGATGCACATTTATCATTAGCGCTTTCTTTCTAAAACCATCGCATTTAAACTGCTTTTGTTTGGCACCACAGGCCCACAAATCCAGCCCATACGTCCTATACCAAATCCAAATCGCCTGTACAATGGCTTCAATACCTCGTCCTGTCCCAACACGTGCGTCGAGACGATCGACCCCCCATTCGACGGCACTGTGGTGAGTGTGGGCTCATGAAACTGTGTTGCTTATGAAGATTAAGTGTGCAAATATGTGTGTGTGTACATGTGTGAATATGTAAGTATGAGTGTATGTATATATATATGTGTGTGTGTGTCGAAATCCGTGTACCTTGCACATGAACATACCATTGATACACTACTAAATGGCGGGTTGGCGGTTACGCTACTACATACTCCTACACGCACAGTACGAATACGTCATCGAAATCCTCGACGCGCCCAACGGCACCGAACCCTTTGAAGAACCCAGCAATGCTCTCGGGGACACTGGCATGTACTACGATATGAAGTTGTAAGTGGAGTGCGTGCGATATGAACGCATAGCTAATTGGCATGATTACTTATTCGTGGTGTGTAGCTAACAACGGATGTGTGTTGGATATAGATCATTTGAACCCAAATGGTACCAAAGCAGTATTAAATTGTAAGATGCGTGCATAGTATAGCAAATTGGTGTAGAGTGTGCTTGCGCATGCCTTCACAGTACAGCTTCGATTGCATTCGTTCATCTTATCTCTCGACACGGAAAAATTGATACTCTCTTAAATGTGAGTAACGACGGTAAAGTACTGCGTAGAGTATAATGCCACAGGCAGAATCTAGCAGCACGTCTATATGCGTACATGTCCTTAGATAGGTATATGTAAGTGGCTTGTGATTTTAATTAACCCTAATCTGTTTGGAATCGTTCTTGCTTTCTCCATAGTGGCCAGGTAGCGTCTTTCAGATTCGAAGAGGGTTTCTACAGTGAAATTGGTCCCAACTTGATATTTACTGTAAACCCGCCTCAGGTACGTACGATTCAATCACATGCCGTGCACTCGTACTTAGAGGTACGTAAGTTTATACTTATGCCAACCTACATGTTCTGCATGCTTCTGGATTACTTTTTTGCTTGAGTGATTGAATTCATGGGGAACACCCCACCTCCTTAGGGTGCGGAATAGCCCCCCAATGTAAATGCTCCGACGTGTACATTTTTCACATGTTATGTAACGAACAGTTAATATCTATGTATAGTGATTATTTGTACGCATATGTAAATGTGTTCGCATGTTTTTACTTAGACTTGTTATTTTTGTATTTTTTTTTGTCAATACTGCAGCTCCTCAGATTATATTCTGACATACATAACTTGCTTTGCATACACGGAGTGTGTGATCAGGTCTCCTGACCTATTGTCACTGCCAGTTTCTCTGGTACCAAAGTTTTTTTACAATCACGGGTGGTGTGAACAGGATTTCGGTTGATTTTATATCAGTCGAATAGACAATGAGTGATATCCCTGTGTCCAGTTCTGTATAGCTTTTGCTCATGCAGTACGCACTTGTGTAACATATTCTCTCATTTCGCTCACCCTTGAACCCTAAACACTCTGAGCTGTGCTTGTTAGCACTCAAACCCAAAACCTTCAACCGCTGTACCATAGTAACACTTCTACTTGCCTATTTGGATTGAGCAGGGAAAATAGGAGATCTCAAGGGACGACCTCTGCTGGATTGACCTTGGAGGGGTATGTGTAAACTTGGTTACCTGTGCACACGTATCAATACGTATACGGTACGCTTATTACGTGCTTTTGTGTGTATTGTGTGCTAGCATAGGTATGTGACGTGTGGAGGCGTATATGCTCGATGTATACACGTTCATATGTAGTCCTTTGCAATAGTTGTGTGTGAACAGTGCTTGCAACCGTTTGTTGTTAAAGGCCAGCTCCATGCTCGAGCATATGTGAGCACGATGATAAGCGAGAGCTGTTGAAAGGAGCAAGACTCTTTCTACTTATGGGTCGATGCTATGATTAGATATATCCTAGCTCACATATCCAAATACAAATACATATGCGTCATATACTGTAGTTTCATATTCAATTCAAATACACCACATGCATCATCATGTATTGAAGTTTTATATTCAACTACAGGTACACATGCGTCATGTATTGAGGTTTCATATTCAATTGCAGATACATATGCATCATGTATTGAAGTTTTATATTCAACTACAGGTACACACGCGTCATGTATTGAGGTTTCATATTACAAATACAGACCCATCATGTACTGAAGTTTGTATCTAGCCCCTGCACAGATCTGTGAGCGAAAACGAATACCACAACTCAAATGAGTCACTCAGTATGAGCCATCTACAGCAAAGTACTCTCACCCACTTCTCTGACGTATGGGATATCACTCGTTATTCACAACATGCCTCGCGGTCGAATACATTCCTACAGCTGCCACTCCGAGTGCAGAACTATGATGGGCAGACGGTAGTGTTCCCGGTGCCAAACGGCTGCTACGACCGTGTGCGCATCACATCGCTGACCGGTAGGTACTTCTGTATAAATAGAATCCAAGTGTAATCACGACTGAGTCGGGAGACGTGTCACCGGTGTAGGCGTGCAGGCATGTAATCTGCCCTGCTGTAGCATACCCATTCCTTCGCTACCATTCCCGGCAATCCCAACCACTCCTCACTGAACCACACTTGCTTCTAATCTACCCACACTCACTCACTCACACTCACTCACACTCACTCACACAGATTCGCTCGTTGGAGAATCGCTTAAGCTGGCCAACATCGTCTCGTCTAGAGTGTGTAACGCGTGTGCGGTCGAGGTCTCTCCCACCCCCACCCCCTCGCCTTCTGCGGAAGCCACATCGACAATGCACAGCTCTGAGACTGAGAGTAGCACCAGTATGCTGCCAACTCCCACTGCTGTCGAATCCGAATCAGGGGTATGCCATGGCAGTGTTACGTGCCGGCTGTGTGTGTATGCGCGCATTTACCGAAGTCATCAAGTGTACTGTACTGTGGATTAGTATGAACGTTGTACCGGGCATGTGCTCCTGATACTCTCGCAGTAGTAATTGGGGTATTACTATTGCACTTTGTACTAGCTTATGATTGTTCACTATGAACTGTTCTAAAAAGAAATTAGATCATGTGTCATCTACTCTTGTGGTAGCATTTGCACATGGAAGTGACTATGAGGGAGTAGCGTGTGTAGCTATTATTAAAAGTGGGCAAAGCGCAATGATATCTCGCATTTGCCATCACAGGGAAACGCCTTCGATTGAACATCTATGCAAACTAAGTAGGTGCATATTCAGTCCTCGTACCTGTCACACATATACTGGGGACGTGGTTGTCCTGAATCTTTAACATTTTCTTTGTGTATGTAGACCCTTCATGGTGGGATGAATTCGAAAAATACGATAAGCCCAAGAAGTCGAAGAAGAGCAAAAAGAAGAAGAAAAAACACCCCCATCATGACGATGTTAATGATGATGATGATAATGATGATGGTCTAGTCAAATGGGTATGTAGTACCTATCATTGTAAACTAACGTACTCAAGCTCTTGTATAGAAACTCCCTGTCATCGTATTGGTCAGCAATCATGAGTTCTGTGAATGTACAATAATCCATCGGGTACATATTATGCAAAGGTGTGTGCTCGCTCAGTTAAATACGCACTGATAGCCTGCATGGCATATGTTGTGGTTTGGTGGAAGCTCCGGCGGATGATTATAGCTTGATTTGCACTAGATACTAAATTTCCATGTGTATTTTTGCGTGGGGCTGCAAGAGCTGTAAAGAGTGTACAAGTCAATGCATAAGTCGGAATTTCGAGCATTTGTGTTGCCGCTATCTCACTATACATACTTATGGCTGGTATTTGCTATGTGCCATGTAAGATGTTTGTATTCACGATGAAAAATAGTGTATGATATACTTCTGCCACACCTGACTTGACTGCTTGAATCTTATTTTCCTTTTCCTTTCTTTTCGCCACACAAAAACTCTCTTTCTCCACAGCATAATGCGAATGAGAATTCAGTGGACGAAGCTCAACGAACCGGTCAAAATATTTTAAGCGCCGGGCCTGACCAATCGGCTGATCAAGCCAATGGAGACGACGCAGTCGAGGAATTCGAACTGATATTCTTGGAAAGCCTGGATAATACAGCGTATGCAGCTACAAAAGGTCTAGGATACAACGTAAATGGCTTTGATGTCGGTGGCGAGAGCAAGACAAAGCTACAACGGCAGCTGTTGTAAGAGGCGTGGGAGATACGCGTCTAAATACCTGCTTAGGGGTGTATGGTCACTGATGTACTTTAACGGGCAACTGAACGAATACTAGCTGGTTAGATCAATTGCCTGCTAACCGGTACCAGATTCAGAACAGCTCGAGCCATTTGAGAAAACTGCTTTCCAGTGGCTCAGTACAGAGACCGCTACACTGTATTTATGTGAAAAGGAGCGTGCGATATTAGAGGATACGGAATATTGATCGACGTGAGAAGTCAAGCTCGATTTGATACCAAATGTGGTGAGTACGGCATCTAAATGCAACCGCTAGGACTAGCGGAATTTTTCATGTTGTCTGTGTATACAAGATATCAATAAAAAGAGCAAATAATAGTCGACGTGTTTAAGTTGTTCCCACAAGCACGCACATCTGGTTGCACTACACCACCACACAAGAGTTTATAGTTTTGGATGATTTCCAGCTTTATTACTACACTAAAGTATGACGCTATTGACCGCCTTTTTGTTCTTTTATTTTACAAAGTCATTTTTAAGAACAATTTTGACATCGTGAATATTGCCGTGGCTTATTAGCCACACCCTTTGTTAGGAAAGCACTTCCGAACTTGCTTGTTTGGATCTGTGTCAACTCTATGTAGGAATGGCGCGAGTAAAATAGCTGATCTAGGATATTATTTGAAATTCCAATACAGCTGCAAAAGACCATACATTCTTTAATTGAATTAAAAAGGTTTACTACATCGACAAACCCACAATAAATATCACTTCAACAAATACAAATTCGCATGTTCATCTGCGCATCATACGACTTTCAGGGGGCTTCTTTTTCTGAAAATATCTATGAAGTTTCGGATGGTACTAAACTACTTAGAACTTATCTATTGTAGCATCGTCAAGCAAAGAAATTGAACCAAAGAAGTAGAAAAAATGGCACCAAGCAGCTACAGCCCAGAATCACCGAATCTGTGTGCCATTACAATACAACGATCAAACAGAAAACTGACTTAGAGTAAATATAAGAGCGAGAAAATTTTCTATTCTCAGCAAAATGACAAGTTTTATTCGCGAAAAATAGCGGCGGATAGCCCAAATTCAAATTATGTCTTCCATAAATCAATATTATAGCTTCACATAATCCATTGCCCAATTCTTGAAAAATTACTTAGTCGAGAGTGGTCCTTATGTTTGTCGAAGAGCTTAGTTAGTATCATGTACTTATCAGCTTAGATTGCTAGCAGTTTTTCAACGAAAGAGATGTAATGTGAATTAAGGACATAGCTATATTGACGGCCATGTTATGGCCGACGCCAGCGAGGAAAAATCAACGCTTGAGTGCTCTTGCGGCTTTTGTATCTCTGGCAGCGGTAAGCGAAAGCTGATCATTCACCTAAACATCAGCACAGGCAAAGCTAATCAAGTACTGGGTTTATTCTAATGGTACGTAAATCCAAAACGTACATTTATCTGGAGTTCATTCTGGCGTTAAATTGGAATAACTAGATATCGAAAAGGAAACTCGCTGAGTCATACAATGTTAAAACGACTTTTAGAGACTTCCGCAGGTAATGGAGTTCGCCATGGAAGTTGCAAAAAGATATTCCTGGTCAATTTCTATTCCAACCAACCCTGCAGTGACGATGGCACTGCAACATACACCACGCCAATGAGATGGTCGGTACCATTGAACCAATCTGTTGTTTTCATTGGGTCAATCACATTATCGGATGATTCTGTAATTATGAAAACACAATCCCGGCAAAGAAAAACACGACAATCTTCTTTTGATTCGAAAATATATGAACACCTTTCTCGCTGTAGTCTCGACGAACATACAACTCTACTTATGTATGGCGACTGGAGGTTTGAATGTTTGATTCTAAGTGATGTGTTACAGATCTCCGATGAACCCGCACCTGTCATCTCTAGAGCTCGAGAATAATATCTTGGGCGTATTTCTAAAACACTTTCACGCGTACATGTTTACGTAAAAGTTTAATGCAAGATCTGGTGTCGTTAAATCATGTGAAATTTAGACATCAGAGGCGCAATTTACGTTAAATTTACGTCATGAGGGTCTGTGATTTATTACTTGATAAAAGCAAGTCGAGGATATATGACCAGCAGTTTGCGTCTGTTTGACTTTATACAAGCTCTGGCTGAAAGATGAGTGCAAAAAACGCATATAAATGAATTTACTACATCGCGTTTCTGTACGTGACAAGTACAGGTCGCAACAAGGCGATGAGCGTGCAGAGTACAAGAAGAGAGTTCCGAACCCTTGACAATTGTTCCGTCGAGACGCTTCAGGGACCAACTGTTATCGCATTTTTTTTTGATTTATTGAAATCGTTATAGTCGGTGACTCAATCCCGAAGGTTAAACAACTTTCTTAGCCGACTCTCGAGAGGTGATCCAGTTTCCTACACCCGAAATAATCTAAAGATAGTTATGCTCCTATGTATGTCACAGCTTATGCTGAAGAGTATCTTATAATCAGCGTGAGAATTAGTAGCAAGTAAAGAAGTCGAAATAGAATATTACCGAAGAGTTTAAAGAATGTTTCAAAAGGTTTCTCAAATTGACCATCTGAGTTTTCTCTCCGGCCAACCCAAGTAGTTCTGGTATAACACCAAAAATGAGGTTAAAAATAAAGACATACATTTGCACTTTAGAGTCTTAGAGTGTCAGTACATTCTAACATATTTAATATGAAAAGGCATATCGTATGTAGCGATGAGTTGGCATTTTGCCAATGTTATAGAAATTTAAAATAAAGGAAATGTAGATGAATGTTCTAGAAATTGTCTTTTTCTTAGTTCACCAACTAGTTGAACCCATTGCGCAACACAGAGGGCATGAAATCAAGCCTACCGTCACCAATGTTACTTTATACAACTTCATACTTTGCATGTTTGATGAAGGACATATCCGCGCCAAAGCAATGAAGCAAAACTTCCAACACCAGGGTTGACAAAACTAAACATCACAAATCACAAACCGATTGGATAAGGTTGGTCTCATTTCCCACCAAATTTAGGTACTCAATAAGCGGAGATATATATCAAGGGGGTTTTCAGGAGAGAAAAACCTGAAGTCAGACATACACATATTGAACCTCAATAACCCGTTAAGCTAATTGTGGCAAGTGCAGGTTTTCACTGCAATGAGATGGCTAAGACCACAACAATCACAGCTGCAGATACAATCAGTGCGAACTTCGTAATATCGAGAAAAAAAACAGTACCAAGAATATGATCCTTTGTTTTATGAATTTAACTATTTAATTCTTCGTATTATCATTCCCAGGTTTGAGCGAAAGGGCGAGATGGAAAAATGTGATTCTTTCATGTCAATCGTGTTAGGTACGGTGAAGTGAAGCGAAATCATTATTTGCAAGCTTTGATGAACTCTAACCGCCAAGATCCCAAGTGTTTCTAAACGAATTAAGCTTGGGTGTAACATCGAAACTGGGATTGAGCGTGGATAGCTTCATGTTGTACCCTTAGAAACCGAAAAATACGTGGGCCAAAATTGTGATAAGTAAAACTATCACAGTTGAATGATCGGAATCAATAATTGATTTAAAATTCAGAATTGGTGTTAGGTATCATTTTAGATATCTGCATGTATTCTTAGATCACTCAAAACACAATGTAACGTTGAATTTAAATTTATTTCCTCGATTGTTGAATAAATGTCTACCTTAGCAGAATGAACTTCTCCGAAAGATTTCCTTGAGAATCCAGCCGCCAATCAAATCGGGTATCTTCTCAATTTCGAGCCTACAAGTCCATTCAACATATATCGTCATCTGCCACCCTCCAGCTCATATTACCCCGCACTTCGGTTCGCAAAGCACCAATCACACACCAACCTTCTCTTCTTTCGAGCCTGCGCGGCCGTTCGCCAACAAAATGCACAAAACAACTTAACTTTTCAAACTTTTCAAACTTATTAGCTTTCCTTTCACACTTACCAGTTATCGCCCACACTTAACAGTTCGGTACTTACAACACAAACAACATTGTTTTAAATCGGAGGTAAACATGGTTGACATTACAAGTTTATCTGTACTAATTTTCGTGTAGAACGGGTTTATGGGTTAATCAATAATTCAGCAAAGGGTAAAAAAAATCAAAATCTGGAGCAGAACATGTTCATGTTTCTCCAAATTCAATTTCGACAGTTTGGTGTAAAGCTGAATGAATGAAAGCTCTGTAGAATCTCCCAGGTTCACTTCAAAAAGTCTAGGCATGTCAAGCTACTGCTACTATCTTACAACCTTAGGTACAACCAAATATAGACTGTCGGGCGAGTTAAAGAAATCGGTGAAAGGAAAAACTAGTCTCATAGGGTAGAGAGAGAGCTTATGTTTGGTGTATCTGTTTGCGAGCCTCGCGGATGGCTTTTTTATCGGGTTGTTCCCCACAGATTTTCAAGACTTACGGACCTTTTGTAAAAGTATCTTGATCGCAAGTGTACCTGATGGATAGTTTTAAATATAAATACATACAATAAAAACCCATTTATATGAAGCAAGTATATCTGATACTTTTGCACGCTCGATTTCACAAGGGAACTACAAAGGAACGAATTACAGAGAAAAAAATATCAATAACTGAAAACCCCACTGAAAGCAAAACCTCTAACTGTATGAACAGTAAAAAAATCCTCATAATGACTCGCTGCTGATCTATTCAATTGAGTCACAAATTGAATTAACAAATTTAATCAAATTGATTTCGTTTCACAATTCACAATTTCAATGATTTCGCATTGATATGTATAGACTGTTCGAGTGCAAAAGAAAGAAAAAACATCGGCGGTGGAAAATTAGAGCCTTTAAATTGCTTTTTTGTTTATTGTCAGGTATCAAAGCGCATCAGAAAGGGACCAGGAAGGGACAGGTTTTCATTTCGAATTGTGGTTTCTGAGAGTTGGAGATAATCCTGAAGCACTAGGTGTAAATTCCATCTTCATGAGAACGTGATACTTATATGGGAGAAATCAGCAGAAAGGCTTTTGCAAAATCTACAACATCCCTGTCACAGCCGTCAAATTGTCCCTAGCTTGAGTTGTACTTGAATGACATTTGCCTAGTGAGTGGTATATCTCAAATTACAAATCGCTGTACTCACAGCTCATGAAGGAAATAGCAGTCGCAATTGTTCAGAATAACCAGTGAGTCAACGGTAAGAGCCGTTTGGTGGTATATACTAGGTATAGGTGTTTCAAAAGCTTTGAGCAATGAGTATCAACCACTCGTGCGTGTTCAGATTGGGCAACCAACTTGACTATTATACAAGTAAAATGCAGACGAAGAGCTGATGTCAGCTCTCATCGATTAAACTTCAACGACTAGAGTCCGGATTTAAAACCATGGCATATTGGGATCACAAAAAAAACAGTTCGGTGTATCGAGATGTTTGCAGCAATTTTCACGACACTCGCGCAACATCGTCTTATATAAACTATTCAATATGACAATCTTTTATCATGTGTATAGCCGTCTTCCGCCCCCTTCGTGTACCGCCATCACTAAAACAATTTTTATTATTTTGAGTTGTACTGCCAGCTAAAACACCATCGTGAATTAATATGGATGCAATCCTCACGTATCGGAAAACCGTGCAAAGTCAACTACATGACCTTCGCCAATCACATTTCATGGACAGGTCCTGTTATATAAGGTTTCAGTCAATCCAACGAGCATGCCCGCTGTATGGTTTCTTCGTTTTCTTAAGAATCCAAAGCGATCCGTGCACGCACCAAAGCTTAGGAGCATGCGGTGCCAACCAGTACTTACCCAAATATGAGTATTCCGAGCATATTCGGTGTCATACTAAGCAGTACTTGTAAATGCACTGTACTACAGTGCTCCTGTGCACTTTAAAATATAGTCATACTGAGCATGCACTAGCACGGGATCCAAAGTTAGCTCACATTAAATTCCAAAGTCATCGGTAATACTGAGAGCTGTGAGACATAAGTCTCATCAATAATCACGTACTCTATATACTGCCCGATCCGGAAGCAGCCCAAAATGATTCAATCAGCAGAGAAAAAGCTCTCAATGGAAACTTCTAAATAATTTATTTGATCAGTGGGCAGCACTGAATGGACAAAGCTGAGTACCGTACGCTCTCAAACAATGCTTACCCGATTCTGACTATTCTAACGACATATAGCTACACAACAAGCAGTGTCTGTTTACGCACTACGCAGGGATGTACTTGTCCAGTTGATAGTGGTTGGGACCGGTGCGGAAGGCCTCCTCAAGCTGCTCCAGTTGCATTCGCAGCCTTTTGTCCTAACATAATGAGCAAAATCATGTTGAGTATTCATTGAGCGCATCTATTTCATACCACAAACATGATCTATTGCTGCCTGGTTGCCAAACAGATCCCCCTACCGCCCACATCGCTGTTGAGAGAGTTTTTATTGGTATGTGGAAATTGATACCATTCAATGATTTGGTTTCTTCACTGCTTGGATGTGTTACTTTGTTGCATGTATACTTAGTAGTTTTAGACGACATACATGATAATCGACTGATTTAAGATCAGCCTAGATAGCTGCTATTCAAAATATCTGCTATTCAACTGGTTTAAGATTAATCTAGTATAGCTGCTATTCAAAAGATCATCTCTGGGCTAATTGACGACTTCTGTATGTGCTTATTATATTCCGACGTTATACATCTGCAAAATTGTGCGCTGAAAGAAAACTGATTTGCGTGACTGGTGATAGTAAGGTGTTTACACGAGCGATAACTAAATACCGATCGAGTGTGATCGACGCTTAACACGTTCAACTTTCCTGTGAGACGTTGAAGGGATGTTATGCCGAGAATTTTTTGATATTGAAAACTTTGACGACAAAATCACTTGAGCACGCGAAAACTAAACTCACACCACGCGGAGTGTTTTCACAATACCACCGGGACAATAATCAATTCAAACCACTCAATACAACCAACATCGCGTGTATAATCTTAGTATCTTCGCTATATTGGCGTCATACACCGAAGGGTCACATACCGATCGGAACCAACTGGAATTCAATGCCTGTTCCGTCGAATATCGTTCGTTGTAATCCACCTTCAGCGTGTTGTGTATCAGATGCTTGGCTGATGGAGAGCAAAAGCGAAAGAGAGAGAGAAAATGACGTAGAAATAACGTGAGCATAAAGGTGGAGAGATATCATTATTGTATGACAAAACCCTCTCGAAGCGACGGTGGATATATATATATATATATATATATCATATTTTAAATACACCTTGAAGTTTAAAGGTGCTTCATGGGATAGCGTTTGGGCAGTAGCGTACACCGTAGTTGGCACCCAATTGCTGATATATGCGCATGCTGATAATTTACATCGAAACACTCTCTGTTAACAAGCTCGTCAAGCGAAAGGAAGGAGAGTCATCTGAAAGCATCTGTGTGTGTGGATGTCTCACTGCACCACTTCGTATATCGTCGAGTATGTACGAACTAAGGGGTAACGCCATAAACACATGAAGATATACGAACACGCCTACACGAACAAAACCACACCTAGACTAAGGCGGCGCATAGCTGGAACTCTCTACACTCCAACACACCAACAACAAACACTTCAGCAAACGCACACAAGAGCACGGAAGTGCACTAACAGCGCTCACCTTCATTTGATATATTTGCCCATTTCTCGTCCGGGAATAAAAAGTTGGCGGTGAAAATCTGCTGTGCAACCTCTTGCTCTTCATTGTATGGGAACGTACCGCTGTTATGTCAGTGAAAGTCAGTCTCGGGGTTAGTCAACAGAGTTACAAAGCGCACGACCGCATGTCCTGTGCATGGACTGCTTGTGTGAGATTGTGATTGGTCTACAAGGTAGTGATGTGACCATACACATGTTAGCGGACAATTTGGTGTTGGCGGGTAGAAGCCCGGACATGCATATTCGGATAGGATTGTAGTAAGCGCTACATCTGTAAGTCTTTCTCTTGGCAATTGCTATATACACCTCGGCGTAGCTAGGACATGCTGCTTGGTATTTTCTAACTTTGCGCTTGATGAAGGCTCACTCAAACACTAGCTTAGAGTTGATAATGCAATATAACTTTCCCGTTGAAATCTATCCGTGTTTTCAAGAATAGAAAAGTGAAGACATACATGCCTGTAGAACCACGTCTAAATCTAGAGATCACAGCTCATAGACCCACAATAGTATGCGCGTATGGGCTTGCAATAGACTACATTTTAAACCAAAATCTTATGTTTCCAATTCTGTCGTCATATAGTGTGTATGATCGTATGGACGTAGGTGCTTAAGTGTAAATGCACGCCTGTATGCTGGGTTCAGGTAAGTAACAATCCCACACGCGCACACGCCCATACCTGAGAGCAACGTAGACTATAACCCCCAGCGACCACAAATCCACTTTGACCTGATATCCCGTAGCAGCGCTACCCGAGGACTGTCTAATAACCTCTGGCGCCACATACGCAGGCGTACCTACCACAGACTGCATGAACGAGTTCTCACCCACAATCCTAGCAAACCCAAAGTCGCACAGCTTGACCAGAGTGTGCGTGTCATTGGTAGACAGCAGCACATTCTCGGGTTTGAGATCTCTGTGCGCCACTTTGTTGTCGTGCAAGAACTTGAGGGCTGTGAGTATCTGGTAGATGTAGTATTTGGCAACGGGTTCGCTGAGGCTCTGGTTGGGTTGGCTCAGAATGCGGTCCAGAAGATCCCCTCCAAACGCTCGCTCCATCACGAGGTAGAGCACCTATAGCGCACACAGCATCAGAAACAAAGGTGCACAGAGTAAGAGGGAAGCAGATGCACAGTTGGAGGATGTACCAGGAACGATTTCAGATTTTAAGATTTTAGGAGTTTACTTTCTCGAATTTTAAGGGGATTCTGTCAGTATAAAGCCTGAATCGGATAGATTGTATCTGCTGTGGCGTATACAGTGAATGATCCTTGAGTCGTGTGGGTCAGAATTTACGTACAGATTGATTAGCGATAAGCGTGTGCGAGTAGTTACACCTCCTAAGGTACAGGTGGCTTCAAGTTCAAATGCCGTTCGCGGCATTGCAGTGGGAAGTAAACAGGCAACACAGCAGCGGAAAACTGAGCTAGACCTGAATCGAAATCTCTTACTGTTTGATTTTTAGTTGTGTGCCGAAGAGTGCTAAAAGGATACGCACTTGGCTTTTGAAGAATACATTCAGCATGATGCCCAATCTATAAGGTGTATCACACTGCAGGAATCGATTACGGAATAAAAGGGATGTCACCCACATAGGGCTCACGAGGATGGATTTCAGGCCACGATATGTGACTCAAAATGATGTATGAACTTCTTCTGAGTGCGTCTATGAATATATCGGATCGTGTTAGCACTGCAACACCGAGTGAAGTAACCAAGAATGGAACATAAGTGCTTTTGAAGAGGTTAATCTGCATTGTAGCTAAGTCTTGTTATATCTTTGCAAGCGTGCCGAGAAATGTTGTGCAACAAAAAAGTAGTAACTCAAGACATTGCTATTTCTCGGTTTTGCGTCGTCGTTGTAGTAAAATATACAAACCTAGCTAGACAGAAAATGCAAGTTGTGATCGATACTTTGTCACATCAATCAGCCCATTATAACTCATTACACAAGGCAGTGATATCAGGTTCGTTGTTTCAGTTCGACCGAGGCCACACTGTGGCAACATACCTCTGGTGTGTGATAAATCCTCTCCAATGAGATGATGTTAGGATTCTTGAGCGCCTTCAGAAGCGCCATTTCACTCTTCAAATTGGCCGTCTACGCAAAGCAAGGTATAGGGTTTAGAGACCTAATAGTTTGCCACGGAGAAGAAGGGGCAAAAAAAGGAAGTGAACATAAATTTATACATAAATACACATATGTGTGCATGTCCACATGTATAAGTATCGAGGAACCCGCCGCGCATATATATATATATATATATATAGATAGATATATATATATGTATATATATATCCTATGTAAGTGGTTATATACGTATAGTACAAGCATAAGTACAAGTACTAGTATATTTATATATATAATAGGTATATGCGTACTCACAATCCACTAATACGTACATTTTAGAATTTCATATAATACTCAAACAACTACGTACCTACATATTACCCATACGCAATTACATACCAGTGCACATGCCAGCCCATGTACACTCACATCGCAACCACACCTTAGAATGATCGGCATCGACAATCTTCTTCCACTGAATGATCTTTATGGCCATATGCCTGGAGGGATTTTTAGCGTCCTGTGCAGCCACCACCATTCCAAACTGTCCACTACCCAACGGCGTGTTGAGGTCGTAAATGTAATCGTCCTCCTGCGGGCGCATAACGATATGTGACTTGTGCATGAGCATGTGGGTGATCGCATGCGAGCGCCGCAAAGTTTTGTGTTCGTATATAGTGCGTGTAGTGTTGCTGCTTTGGTATATGCCAAACATCCATGTGTGCAGAGTGTGCGAGAGAAATGAAGATGGAAGTGGTCTAGCGACTGCGAAGTGTCTGCGAGTCCGCGAGTGTATGAAGGTTGGTATGAACCTGTCCTTGATTTCTCCCTAATGTTTTAACCGCTTGACTGCAGATCTGCCAGAGAGTAGTGCTATGCATACAATCATAATCACAGCACACCAGCAACAAAAGCTCACAACACAAGTATGAAGGCCCCGTTCACCCACCCACACCACCCACACCCAAAACGTCAAGGCCCGCCCAAAGACATACCCTCCACACACTCATAATTATGCCCACAAAATCACGTCCGCAAAGTGATATCCACAGTCACAACCTCAAACTCCACTTCTCACAGGCACAGCCACACGCTCACGAGATACAATTCCCCGCATTATCTCCGTATCACATCAAGCGCCGCTAATACCCACGATCTCTCTAGAAAATTTATCAAAACCTACTCATAATCCGACAGTATGCATATGCACTTATATTTATACATACATTAACAAACATACAAACATATATATACCCACAACCACATCACAAAACCTTACCCACGCCACACTGACATACCAAGTGCCTTGGTTGCGTAAGAACCCCCGAGAATTCACGAGATCTAATTAAAAATTAAGGAAATCACGTATATATATATATATATATATATATATAAAGTATGTATACATATATAAACACGTATACCTGCAATCACATCACAGAAACTATTTTTACGCCACGCTCCCATACCAAGCGCCGGTTGTTGCCCATGGAATCTCGAGACTCCGCCGACACCTGCGCGGGTGGTTGGGCCCCAGAGCCCGGTAGATTATCGGCCATGCGTGTGTGGTCGAATGCGTCGCTGTTGAGTGAAACATATCGAATAGTCGTGTTGATGGCGCTAACCAGTCGCCCGATAATCTCTGCGCTGCTAGCTTCCAGCTGGTACAACTTGCCGTCTACACTCAGCAGCATGGCGCGTGCATTGTCCATCTTAATCGTCGCCAAGCCTTGTATGTTCTGTGGGTGGGGTGATGGGGCCGTGGAGTGTTCGAGGTATTAGGAGAGTGCGTGTTGTGCTATAGTGCATGTATGCACTGCGGTAGATATACCATGTGTGCGATGCACATGGCACAGCGTAAGTTGTGCACTGGCCTTTGTGATGAGTTCAGTAGATGTATCTAAAGATTATCATGATATGTGCTTGGATTGCGGTGGTGAGGTGTGGTGTGGTACGGTGTGGTGAGGTGTGTGAAGGCACAATCTTGTATACGTGAGCTCCACCACCCTGGAACACATTGAATATACATGTATATGTGCATGCCTATGACACCAGAATCATATATGCTGAACGAACTATCAAGAATGTACAAGCCAAGCACTCCCATCAAGCGATGAGCCAAAGGCGTGTGAACACAGCAACACTGAAGCCGATTTGATAAGTTGTAGTGGTTCAGTGATTACGAGGGAGCGGGGCAGGGGTTAAGCCTATACTAGCCATGCAGTCGATCACACAAAATTATGAACACTATCCCAATAGCTCCGGATATGCAGCAGTAAACAACACGGATACGAGCATACGAGGAACACCGATTCTGCTCAAAAAAACATATTAATGTTCATATGGAAATATTCTTCGATAAGGATTAACTCGTGTGATGAGTTCCCTATACGCTACTTTCAAGACGTGGCCTTCAAGCAAGAAAGGTAAGACGACACGGGGAGTGGCTCAAATCCTTGCCAATACAACTCTAAGTGTAATAGCGCAGGCTAAAATATGGACATCAATCCTCGCGTAAAGAAGGTGCGTATGTCACTAAGATGATACTGGAAAGATGGTGGAGAGATGGTAGCTTCCCTCTTGTCCATCTCATGCATACCTTCATCTTAATTTCATGTTGACGGGTACGTTAAATATGAACATCGATCCTCGCGTAATGAAGATGTGCATGCCTTTAAGGTGATACTGGTGAGATTGTGGCTTCACTCTTATCCATCTTAATATGCATACCTTCATCTTAATTTCTGCCATAGGTTTGGGCGCATTCTCGTCCAGGTAGAATTGCAAGCGGAAGTTCATGATGCGCAAACATCTCTCGACCTGTGACAAGGAATACGTAAATGTGTACCAATTTTTAGGGATATAAAGGGGGTTTATGGGCCCTTCAAGAGACCGCATCGCATACACATGCTATGTACATTTTTTCTTGCATAGGTAGATGCTCGTCTTGTTGTGCACTTACACGTACCGATGCACACATACACACGAACACGTATAGTGTCACAAATGACCTCAAAGAATGTACAGATTTTAACACATACACGTATATCCACTTGCCTATACAAATTAATTCAAGCGTGCTCCATAACTAATATTGAAGGTGCTGCACGCTGTCAGATTTCATTTGGGGGTGTGCTGAAGGTGTCTGCGTAACGGCTTAATTGCGCACATAGCAAAAGGCAACGAGCTTAAAGTACGCGATAAATCCTGGTAAACCCAGAAACAGTCGTGCACACAAACAAGCATTCAAAAGTACACTGGATGACCCAAAAAAACCCCCCCGCAAATGTATTCTTGAAAGTACGCACATACAAGCAAACATACACATGCCGATACAAACTATGTATTCATACATTAAATAAACGGAGATCATGTGTGACAGCAAGATGTGATACACAACATCTACACCATGTACAAGAATTACAACATACACTGACACGTACCGCGCCATAGAAGCACACCCAGCCCATCCTATCAACTTGCCAGGCCTGTACACATATCATGCTTGAAATATACAATATACACCTACATGTCCACCATGAATGGATACGCATATGCTACCTACCATGTGATCCGAGTCTTTCTCGCCCATACGTACTACACCCGACGCCAGGGTAGCGTCTGAGGCATCGACCACGCAATGATAGCTCGCCATGCATTCACTGTGCGCCACGCAGTAGCACCTGGTTGTATTGTTGGAAACGAGCATTTGTTACGAGGAGGCAAGCGGATGATATTGTTTGATTTACTTTGCAATCATCATGTCGTCCTTATATGTGTGAATTGGTATCGGCAACACTTTCAAAACTCAATCCCCTTCCGGATCTCTCCTAGCTATATATAGTTAGTGCAAGCACGTATAGTGTTTTAGTAGGATTTCGGACTTCTAACACGCTTACATGCTTGGTGCAGAGAACTTACTTGTTGCACTCGAGCGCATTGCTAGCCCCGCCCTCCACCTGCGAGCCACACTTGTTGCAGAACGTCGGTCCGTTGAACACGCCTGGCACAAACACATGGCCCATGATCGAGATACTGCGGTCAGAGGTATAGTTGGCGCCAGGAGGAAGCGCGCCCGTGCCCACTGTGCTGACCTTACTGGTAAGAACACGGTGGAGGGGAATCATATTCGATGCCTGGAGGTAGAAAGGACGATGTGCGTGTTATGATTAAGTGGCTTTGCTTGCGGTTGTTCATTTGTGCAGGTATATTTATATTCACGTGCGTGCTAGTGTATGTGGGGTATGTAGGTGTAATCAAATATATGTAGTTGGCGCCAGGGGAACCCCAGATAGGGCCTACGAACCTTATTGGTGAGAGCGCTTGAAAAAAATAAAGTAAACCCATACCATTAACTGATATAGGGAGTTTTAAGGCACTTACCACGACGACATACAATCTCAAACTACACCCTCGCGAAAATGGACTATACCCACCCGCACCTATACGGCACAGTGTACAGAACAAGCACACACGAGTACAACAGATACACCCAAAATACATAAAAACAGACCTTGACTTTCATTCGACTACCAAATAACCGTCATAACTACAGTTATACGGTTGAAAGCAACTTTCTAGGGCCGCCCGAAGTATCGGCCCTTTGTCAACAAAATGTGTTCCGTCATCGCTTGGTGGTGCGTAAAGAAGGAATGGAGTGTAATCAAACAATATAATATCTAACTAGTACACCCTATACACCCCACGTGCACACAAACTCCGGACATCGTAGACCTGCACTTACAGTACACCTCAATCAAACAGACACACAACCACTCAAACCAATTCCATCGCCACGTTACCTGCCGCATCTGTATGTCACCGCCTGAAATGTCGGCCCTTTCGTCGACAAACTGTGCTCCGTCGATACACGATGGTGCGTAAAGAATGCACGGCGTGTGGCAGTTGTAGTAGCAGTCCTCGCACTTGGACCCCTGGGTCTGGCCTGCCAGGAACTAAGATGCCCAATAAGTTTATAAGAAATATGCATACATGCGGCGTAATGAATATTTATTTTACAATTGAGTAGCTCGGATAGGATGCCACATGTATAACTGTATTGATATACGTGTGAGAGAGCAACGGTTATGCAGCAGCAGTTTTCGCTCTTGTAGACCTAAGGTTGTCTTAAAGGAGCAGCAACGCAGAAAACAAATGTGTAAACCGACCTCAATATATATATATATATATATATAATATAATATATATATATATATAATATATACATATATAATAATAATAATAACAATAACAAATAAATAAATAATAATAATAATAATATTTTAGTATATATATATATATATATATATATATTATTATTATATACTATATTACT